TATGTGGGCATTCACATAGAAACAAGTAAAGAACGTGCCGCTGGTATTGAACCTTTTGAGTGAGGAGCACAAAGACGGCAATTTTATATCAAATCGAAAATTATCTGCAGAGGAAGTGGCTGAAAAACAGACACATAATAATAATTTTGGTGAGCTGGCTTCACTTTCTCTCTAACACGTTCCTGCTTTAAATCAAGCTAAATAACCGTTATTGGTGAGAAACGATTTGATACCAGAAATAAAAATAGACATTATAGAGGGAATTATGACAAACATAATTAACGAACATCAGCACTAGGCAGTTGATGCTAGTTACGTACCGTATTTTCCGCGCTATACGGCGCACCGGATTAAAAGGCGCACCTTCAATGAATGACCTATTTTAGAACATTTTTCATACATAGGGCGCACCGGATTATAAGACGCATAAAATACTTCAGTCAAACGTTTTACCTGGGTTTGCGTTATGCTAGGGTGACCAGACGTCCTCTTTTCCCCGGACATGTCCTCTTTTTGAGACCTAACAGTCGTCCGTGTTGCCAGATTGGAAATGTTCACCATTTCCAGCAATACTGAGCACCTATTGTACCAAAGGCTCAAAATGGTCGTATTTGGAGGATAATTCTTGTGTATCTGGCAACATTGAGATCGGTCGACCAATGACTGTTCTCTCTACAGTCAGAGCTTGCGCAAGAAGGTGGAACAAGGGTGGAATAACTAGTTTGTGAAAGACCCAGAGAAACACAAATATCCGACGAAGCCAAATCCCGGACGTCTTTGGAATCCCTGCCGGACGCATTTTTAAGGTCTCAAAAAGAGGACATGTCCGGGGAAAAGAGGACATCTGGTCATCCTAACTGTAAGTGAGCACAGTATTGGTGGTTACTGACTACGGTAGCCGTAATGCTGCAAGCGGTGCGGCTTTGTAGTTTACCAGTCGTACCGAAATATATTTATTATTATTGGTTTTTCATACTGAAACATTTTGACAGAGCGCCTTGAGCGCCGTGTACAACCAGTGTGGATCAACCAATTGATCCATATATAAGGCGCTCCGGACTATAAGACGCACTGTCGTTTTTTGAGAAAATTAAAGGCTTTTAAGTGCGTCTTATAGTGCGGAAAATACGGTAATTAAAACTACAAATGTCAACGTGTTATATAAATCAAAGAATCTGTTAAAATGAACATAAAACCACGTAATTCTTAATCATTGGAATTGCGTGTCTCTATTTGAACAATAGATAAAAATAACCAAAAGGATGAGATTTAGAATTTGAAAGCAAAACGTGCCATTCTAAGAATAATCCTTTAATTATTCAAAAAGAAAGTAAAGAGTGATTCAATAACTTTATCTCAGTAATCTAAGAGCATTTCAAATATGTCTGTATATGTCGAATTACGTGTCTTTAAAAGTTTTCATAACCACAAAACACAGTCGAAAACCAACCTTTTTCTTCATGGTCATGGCGTTCCTGAGGTGGATGGCCAACTGCCGGATGTAGATGAAGGCGTGCTGGTAAGAGGCCTGCGTGTCCAGGGCGTACATCTCCGTAAGGGTCCGCTGCATGAAGTTGATCATGGGCAGCGCGTTGGGAGAGGTGAACTTACAGTTTTGTACATAGGAAATGTACATTTGCTGCAAAGAGAAATAAAAACACAACCAAGACAAATTAAAATACTTTCTGCTTCTATTACGAAGTCTTTCAAGAAACCACTCAGTGAATTCTGGTCCACTGCTAATCCAGTTTAGCTGTAAGCGCTTTTCTTTCTGTATCAATTTGCGTTCAGCTCACCTTGAGAATAGGGTTAAGATACGTTTCCTGCTTGTGTCTGCACATCTTGTTGAGTGCCAGGAAGGAGAGAACGCGACTGGTCTCCTCCCCTGTGCTCCACTGCTTCATCAATTGCTGTAAACAAAAAGATCATGAGCTGGCACAAGATAAGCAAAAGATGACGCGAAAAACACAATTAGCGGCTTTGAATTGAGGATGACCTTTCACGCCATCCTACAATGATTTAAGTGTTACCTTCACCAGGTGACGACACTGTTTGGGTAGGCAAAGGAAATAAGGTACGAGCTGGTTGGTGTGCTGCAGGACTGCACTGATGACTGTAGACTCTGTCAGACAGGATAACAGCTAAAGGAGGAGATACAAAAGAGACGTTAGAGGAAAACAGAGGAGTTTTTACAGCTGGCTTATGAATAGATTATTTTGTGTCACAGAAAAACATTCATCTGCATTTTCTCTCCATATCCTTACGTCTACCCCCCAAGAACACAAGAGGCAGAACTCAAAGGGGAGAAAGCTCAAACGGACGCAGAGGAGAGACTAAACAAACCTGAATTACTCCACTGAGATACATCTTGATGTCAATCTGATTCTTCTGCCACCTTGGACTAGACGAAGGGAGCACTAACCTGGAAAACAACAAAATTAAGAAATGATCCATCTTCCCGTAGCTAAATTACGACTATAAGAGGAAGTAGCTTTAAAAAGGTGACATCAACTTCATACTTTTTCTGGTCTTTTTCTGGCTTCAAGTTGAGCATCCTCTGCAGGGCCCCATAAATATCTCTGATACAGAACAAGACCAGGGCATTGAACACTGCAGACAGTAAAAGGAAAGAGATATTTATACACATTTTGGGGACAACGCATGTTGAATTGTTTTGTGGCATTCTCCCAATTCCACACATTCAAATATGTCATTAGGTTAAAAATTCTACAATACGTGCAATGTTGAGCTTGTGCAGCTGAAACAAGTGCCTCAATTTTTACCACCATATGTTTTTTTAGTTACTGATGAACCCACTGCTGTTTTGTATTATTCTGACTTTTATGGAAAGTTTATATTATGCTTTTTTTTTAAAGTTGCATGTTGCATTCAGCAAATATCTAAAAATACTTACCTATACTTTAGCATCAATATCAATAAAATGCTAGTGCTGTTTTTCAAAACTGCATCCCAACACCAATAATATTAAATTAATAATACAATTATAGCTGTTTTTTGGGTGGGGGCGTGGGGTGGGGTTGACCCTCAATGACCAAATGAGTCTGATGATTCAACTTTGATCAGCTCATAGACAACAAAAGATGGCACCAAACATGTGATATATTCATTTGTGTTGCAAGAATTTCTAAATTAAAATGTTCTGAGTTTGTAATGCATTTCAATTAAAGCTGTTATACAAATATATAAACGTGATATCCTACCTGAGCTGTCATCAACTTTGTATCGACACTGAATCCCTCCTTCACCCTTGGTTGTAGACACAGCAGCCTTAAAGGCCTGAGTGACTTCTCTGAAGAGATGGGGGTTGGGGTCCTTCTTCATTAAAGTTTTCCAGTCTTTAATCATTTTGTCGGTGACTTTGGTGACCTCCACTGCCTTCTTGGATTTCTTCGAAGCTTTCAGACCCTCTTCGTCTTCCTCATCATCATCATCATCAGAGCTGGCCGCCTGTACAAACCACCACAGGATGAAAACCTTTTCCCCCCACAAATTAACTCAATCGTGAACTGACACACACAAAGGCCAGCCTACCTCCAGTGCGGCTGGCAATCTGTGATACTTTCTCTCTTCCTCATCGTCAGAGCTGTCTGTGTCATCGAAGTTTAGGAGCTTTTGGTCATTTGCTTGCAGAAACTTGTAGAACTCTGGATCTTTGTCCTGCAACCTGGACAGTTGCTTCTTGTGCTCAGTGGCGTTACCCAGCTTCCCAGCATCCCTGTCCGAAAAAGACACCCACAAAAAACACATGTCAGTTGCTTTTTTGTACTTAATAGGTGTTATATTGTTATTACCATCACAACACAAAGGTCATAGTGTAACGGTGTGCACAAATAAATTACACCAAATCAAAAGACCCCACGTCGTGAGGGCGTTGGATTCCAGCACTTTCGGCTTGTTGCTTCTTTTGAGTCCATTCTGCTGTTCAGGCTCTTCATCAGCTTCACTGTCACTGCCAGAGTCCAAACCTGACAGCATGAACTCGTCCACACTGAGGTCTTGTAACTTCCTACAAAAACAAACCGTTTCAACAGGTTAACGTTACATAATTTGGCCACCATGTGGGGGTAACTGTATGATACGTTACTAGTAGTAACGTTTGCTTTTTTCAATGTTGCCAGCTTGTCAGTAACAAGTAAGATCTCCTTAAACTTCCGTGAACGTTATATTTTCCTCGAGGAGACAAGACTGAACATGTGGCTGATGTTTGATTTGAGCTAACGTTGCCTGCTTCCACGAGCGCCTAAGCTAGCGCTAACAGCATGTGAGGCTAACACACTGTTAATGTTAGCTAAAACAAGTATTTGAAACTCCACAAATACCAGAACTAGACAGACAACACTTACTTCTAAAAGAAACCCACATTGTAACCATTTAAACATCAAATTACACCGCACACAGTAAAGAAAATATCCACATGCCTCTTCTGCTTCGCTGCCATGCTGGATCCGAAACGTGACCACCTCAAACATCAATACCCACAATGCACCACTGCAAAACCAAGCGGTTGGTTTTAGGTTTCACGGGCGAAACACCGCGAAACAGTTTACAAATGAAATAAAATAAGCATTTTTCGTTTGATCCGACACTGTAGGGGAGTTTTGTTTTAGTATTTGGTGACGTTGATATACTACATCATATAACGTGGTACACTATAAACACTTAGTCGTTCACACTTATTCCAACAATACATTAAAAACAAAACAAAGGCGGGCACTGCAACCTCGATATTTCACGGTTACAACTGGGTCCAAGAACAAGCAGTGTTTTGATGCCACACGTCACGTATGTTTAAATTAAATGACCGGTTGCTTTCACGGGGTCCGGGTTGCCGAAGATTAGCAGAGCAGAGGTTTCTCTTTAGTTCATGGATCCTTGCGTTACGCAGCCACAACGCTGGGTAACCATAGGAACAGGAAGAAATCATCGCTGTCATATCGACACCGACGACGGCTAGTGGTGAGTTTTCTCCTTTCAACCGTTTCAACGGTGCGGCAGAGCTAACGGTAGCACGCCAGCTATTGGATTATACATTTAACAGTTTACATAAATTGAATCATCGTACTAAACTATCACATTCACGCCATGAATTGCCATGCAAACTAGAAAGGAGCATTACAATAAGTGATTATTCTGTTACACCGAGTCAGTGGGTTTTGCTTGGTGTTGGCTTGATTTGCTGACCGGGCTTGCCGAGACGGGAAGTGGTTCGGGTTCTGGCCAATCATGGCGCTTGTATGTAGAACTCCGCCTCTCGCGTTCGCCGAAGACTCATTTATTGAACGTACTTCCTGACTCCTGCCAGACAAAAGATGGCACTTAAGGTCGTTTATGTCTCGTCAAACAGTAAACAAACATCCACTGCAGATGTTCAACGTGTGCGCTTAAGAAATAGCTTCTTGTGCATTTTCTAACGTGCAGCCTGCGTCTGTCGTCTTCATATTGCAGCAGCATGACAGAGTTGCTGCTTTCATTTCCAGCAGTTCCAGCTCCACCTTAAACACACGATGTCAGTTTTCGTGCAGTTTTTTTTTTTTTTTGCATTGACGTCAACCACATATAACACGAAAAAGAGGATTTCTTCATATTTCGTTTGCTTGAGTCGAAATATGGACAGATAGTCAGCCACAGGGGCCAGTTTTAAACCAATCTGACCGCGACCGTGGCTGATTTATCTCCCATCCCTCTGAGGAAGACACTGCGTCCAAGGATAACCGCGACACAACCACTGGTAAAGAAATGACACGTTCATTCTCTCTATTGCTTATGCAGCAGCTGTTATTCTAGATGGAGTGGGGGTTGGGGGGGGGTTCTTCAAAGCACACAAGGAGCCTGTCAATGAACAGAAACATCCTTCAGGTGTCCAACGAGATTTTGCATGTTTCTCCAGGAGCCACATAGTCATTTGTTTGGCTGTCAGTTAAGATTTTGAGCCAGAAAGAGGAGATGCGATTCTACGAGACGAGCCTGGGATGAAAAGGACAAGTGCTTAAGTCTGTTAGTTTAGCTGTAGAATTCGGTTTCACTTCTGTCTCAACCTCCTGTCTCAATGTGCATCATTGTTCCACAGTACTCCCTTGGGCATGACAGCAGATTGTCCTCTCATAGACCAACATGGTTGGTGTGTTGTTGTTTTTTTGTGGTCCATTGTGTTTTGGAAAATGGGACCTGAAACTAGTCGCCAGGCAGCTGTGCTGACATTTGAGATGTTCCTCATTGGCACAATACGGAGTAATTTGAGTGCCTCCGGACAGATGACCACATAATTATGATGCGTTTGCTTACAGTGCATCAGGTATTTGGTCGGAAAGACCCAGTTTATCAGAATAGATCTGTGGTTTGGTTTTAGACTTCATCATTACATGACTCTGACTTCCAAATGATGAATATTCTTGACTATTTCTTCTCATAAGTGTCATTGTCACAAACAACCCTTGATATTTTCAGATTCGAAAAATTCATTTAAAATAAACCATCACTAGAGGATAAGGATGTTTCAAAATACACATTTTGTGGAAGCTCTGCATCAGAGCAGTTCAGAGAACACTGAAAACCACTTCTGCTTCTGCTTGTACACATATTCTCCGTCCTTATAATGTATCACAGCATCCAATTCAGTGTATCTAAGGGGAAATATTCTGTTCTAGGCCGAGCATGGTTCTGATTAAATTAATGTTGCGTTATTTTTGATTCAGTGGTTTGCCTTAGTGCATCCTAAATATCTATCAGACACAACTTGTAAGATACTGCGTGCGGATGGTTATGCAACATTCTGAAGTGTGTTCTCCATCCGAGAGCAGGGCAGATGAGAGTACTAACTCAGGCTCCATCCTCCTCTACTCCCACCCTGCATACCGAGGCTGCAACTGGGGTAAGGTGGGCGGGGGATCCACAGCTAATTCTGGCGCAATTAAACTGGCCCGTCAGGAGTCATTGTAATAAGATAAGCCAAGACTGCCCTGCAGATGAGAAGCCAGCATTGATTTATTCCATACGTTTTAATAATGTCTGTTCTCTATTGTCATAATGTGATTATTGTCTTGACACTGAATGTCAAATGATTAGGCCAGCTAACCTACACTGTGTAATTGTACCAAGATTTCTGTTATGCTGGTAGGCTTCCTGTCATAGCTGTCAGGTCGGGTACTATGCCAGTAAAAATAGGTACAATCATTGCCCGGGACACCTGTCATAACACCTGCCCCCCCCCACCCCCCCAACCCCCCAAGATCAACTAAGTTCTCGCATGTGACATTTATTTGTGACGACAAGCCATTTTTATAAGTGAACATGAAAGTGGTTTTCTGCACGTTTCAGTTGCCCAGAGTGCGGCCCAGGCAAGAGCCAGCGACCGCCGCATCAGGCACCATGATGGAGGGGGGCATGCAGCTGCTCAACCGCGATGGCCACAGCATCTCGCACAACTCGAAACGCCACTACCACGACTCCTTCGTGTCCATGAACAGGATGCGACAGCGGGGCCTGCTCTGTGACATTGTGCTTCATGTCTCCAACAAAGAAATCAAGGCACACAAAGTGGTGCTGGCATCCTGCAGCCCCTACTTCCACGCAATGTTTACCAGTAAGTTCAGTCCACACACACAGTGTGTGTGTGCACGGGGCCCAGCATGCTGCTTCTCCTTTACACCTTACGCTCCGACATCAAACTGCGCATCATTTTGCTCTGTTGCTGCGAGTTCGCTTCCTTTCCCCTCTTCCCGTCTGGGGCACTTGTTGCCAGATGAGGTGTGTGTGTGTGTGTGTGTGAGGGTACAATGTGCCTCCAGACATTCAGTTGTCTGGCTGCAAGTTACTAATTGTCCCATTTTAACAGAGTCTGCAGATTGTTCATGATCATCCAAAGAGCAAAGGCACAGATAAAACATTTGATTGGTGAAGTGTAACCAACCGTTACCCGCGCCGTTAATGACATAACTATGTTAAAACAACAGATTAAACGACAGCAACAGACTTCAACAGCGGCGCTGTAGAAGTCAGGAAGCTGTGTCAGCATGACTGAACTGGGAGGCAACTATATTGTCCAGAGCTGTAGTAGTAATTGACACTGTAACAGCTCTCGTTCTGCGCCGTTATGTAGACGAGATGTCGGAGAGTCGGCAGACCCATGTGACCCTTCATGACATTGACTGTCAGGCTTTGGAGCAGCTGGTCCAGTATGCCTACACAGCAGAGATAGTGGTCGGAGAAGGCAACGTGCAGGTACGATTTCAGATTTATAGACAAGATTGTTAAAACAGCCCATTCATTACACTGACTCAGTGTCTGTCCACCTGTAATTGCACTCTTTTCTAGACGCTGCTCCCGGCAGCGAGCCTGCTGCAGCTCAACGGGGTGCGGGACGCCTGTTGTAAGTTCCTCCTCAGCCAGCTGGACCCCTCCAACTGCCTGGGCATCCGAGGCTTCGCTGACACGCACTCCTGCAGCGACCTGCTCAAATCAGCACACAAGTATGTCCTGCAGCACTTTGTGGAGGTGTCCAAGACCGAGGAGTTCATGCTGTTGCCACTTAAACAGGTAACGGCGATGCTCTCTCTGTCTCCTGCTGTGTATTACAAAGTAAAGGTGGCATATTCATAGGAAAAGTTGTAATTGCTCCAAGTTAGACAACACAGCTTACAAGTTAAATTGTCTAGTTGTATTATTTTAATGGTTTTGTTGCTTCCTTTCATTTTTTGCTTTTTATAGTTTTTTGGCCCCAAAATATCGGACTGTATCTAAAAGCGCAGAATGTGATACATTCCTCCTGTCAGGTGCTGGATGTGTTTGTGGTGATACCTAAATCAATAAGAGACTTGAATCATCTTTGCTGGTAAATGTTGTCTGTTTGTTCGGCCTAGCTCGGTGGCTAAGCTTCAGTCTCTGTCCGCGGCCTTCAAAGCCCTGAGACGGAATCTGCATTGGTAGTGTGAATGGGCCGTTCCTTACAACAGTTAAGCTGCATAAAGTCACGTAACAAATGTAAAAACATTTGCGTCAAATCTCACTTTATGAACTGGCTGCTCTAAAGGACTCTTATCTCTGAGAGCTGTGGAATATGTCCCATATTTCTGTCCATGCTCTGCATTGGAAGCGGCATGGCAAGGGTGTGATTGGCCCTGGGGATGCTTCTCCAACGTGGCATCACATGCGTGACGTTGTAAAGACAACAAAGCATGCATCCTAATTAGTGTGTGTCGTGGTGTATAAAGATATCTCAAGTATCTTGACGCAGCCCACAAAACCCAATCCCCTTAGCATACACAGACATCTGCCTCAATGTGATGCAGTGTGCACGCAAATATAACTCCCTTACCTCGGCATGCACTGCACCGCCTAACTGCAGGGTGGGGCAGTAGCAGTGGCAGTATTGTTCTGTGGATTAGGTCAAGCGGTTTCCTGGTAGGCTTCTAACTGTTGCGCTGATCCAGCCAGGCTAGACAGCTGCAGCAGCTGGCCGCTCTGGCCCCGCCCGGCCCGGCCGGCGTTGGGTTGATCTGGGAACAGTGCCAGCCAGCCACTCAGACTGCAGCACTCAGTGTGCCACGCGTAGCGTTTAGCTTGAATATATCACTGACCACTACCCACGCAGGCATGTTGAATTGAGGGAAGGCAAAAAGCAGCGGTGCATTTACCTTTCAAATATCAAATCTTATGCCAGCACTTTGTTCAAACTGATATAAATATAGTTGAAAAGCAGAAGTTGTCTTTTGAGTATTTCATTTCTGTGCAGAGAACCATTGCGAAAAATGCAAATACAGCCTCAGAAAGGAAGAATTTCTTTATACAGAAAGAGAGCAAGTGCAGGGGCAAATGGTCCAGACATCGAGATACTGACTGTAAGGAAGCCAAAACAATCTGCAAAACTGCCCAGACAAGGGACCTTTTTCATATAACACAGTCACATCAGCCTTGTGCAGGCAAGAGTGATGTGACTTCTTCTTTTGCAATAACAGCAAGATACACTTGAGCATGTACGCTAACACAATGGGGCTCGTTGGAGTTCAGAGCAAAACTACAAACTTGCACTTTACTAAGTAGAAAAGTTGTATAACAGATTTCATCACACAAAGTCGGGTACAGTTTGCAGGAACTGAGGCTTGGCAAACACAATTTACAATTTACTGTTTTTGGTCAGAGAGCTTTTACTGTCACTTTTTTTCAAAAGCAAATTCTGCAAGGGCTTATCCAACGATCAGAGTTCAATTAAAAGAACAAGGAGTTTGAAGTTGCGGTCATAATATATCTGCCCATCTGCTGTGTCTTGTCTGCCCAGGTCCTGGATTTGATCTCCAGTGACAATCTCAACGTGCCATCTGAAGAAGAAGTGTACCGGGCAGTGTTGAGCTGGGTGAAACATGACGTAGATGGACGCAGGCAACATGTACCCTGGGTAGGACTTTCTTTCATATTTCTATATTTTCTGAAACACTCCTATCACAACTCCTCTTTTACCTTCGCCCATGTTAGCTAATGAAGTGCGTGCGGCTGCCGCTGCTGAGGCGAGACTTTCTGATGAGCAACGTGGACACAGAGCTGCTGGTCCGACACCACTCGGAGTGCAAGGACCTTCTCATCGAGGCTCTTAAGTACCACCTGATGCCTGAGCAGAGGGGGGTCCTCAGCAACAGCCGGACGCGCCTGCGACGCTGTGAGGGTGCAAGCCCTGTGCTCTTCGCCGTTGGTCAGTGTGCCCCCGAAGGTACCCAGTAGGGTAACCCTCGGTCACACTTCACCTCAGTGCAAACATACCCATTGTTACGCATGGAGATGAAAAAACGTATTAAACAACATCACATGCGATGTTGTCAGGGATCTGACTATAGTTTTGAGATCTTTAGAATGTGATATGCAGAAAACCTCGTCCTCTACCTGTGTTTGTTCTCTTGGAGTGAACCCTGCTGCATCCAAGCCAGAAGTAAACGAGTCCTGGCTAAACAAGAAAAACATGCCAAAAAAGTCATGTGAAATCATGGCACACATTGGCCAAAGTCATTATGTTCCTTTTTTTAAATGATAGATTTCCATATTTACTTCACAGCTTGATGTTATAACATGTTTTTTTTTACCATATTGTGTGTGTGTGTGTCTGTGTCTGCAGGTGGCGGCAGCTTGTTTGCCATCCATGGAGACTGCGAAGCCTATGACACCAGGACGGATCGCTGGCACATGGTGGCTTCCATGTCCACCCGGCGGGCCCGGGTGGGCGTGGCAGCCATTGGGAACAGACTCTATGCCGTTGGAGGGTGAGTGTAGCAGCTAGAGTTTTGACCTTTTGAGCTAAAACCAGATAAAACCCTCCACGTCTTACTCAAACACTGCATGATATGTGAACTAAACACGATCATTAAAAGGAAGCTTTGGCGCGGGTAAAATGTGGATGATTTACATGGAAAATAATAATCAGCCTCCTTATTGTCCTCTTGATAAGCTGTTAAGTGCTTTCCTCAATGCGAATGCCTCTGAAACTTGCTTGCTTTCCCGCAGCCTTGGACAGAGGAATTATGTTTTCGGGTTGTCAGTCTGCTGTCTGGTCCATTCTCGTCAATGCGATATCTCAGGAAGGCCTCGAGTGAATGGAAGAGCTGATTAGCACTTAGTGGTCAAAGCTCCCTCTGACTTCACGGAACCGGTTTTGAAAGTATATTGTGATGATTTCTAACAGGATTAGATGATGATCCCATCAATAATCATCATTAATGATGAAGCAATGTCATTTTGGACAGAGATGGATCTCAACTCGCCCCGTGCTTCCACATCAATCATCAAAAACGTCATTACTGATTAATCCATATGCACACTTCCTCAGGTATGACGGCACCTCAGACCTGGCAACTGTGGAGTCCTACGACCCCATCACCAACTCCTGGCAGCCAGAGGTTTCTATGGGCACACGGAGGAGCTGTTTGGGTGTAGCCGTCCTTCATGGCCTGCTGTACGCTGCTGGTGGTTATGATGGAGCCTCCTGCCTCAATAGGTGTGAACACTTTTTGGTGACCAATGCTAAACATCGAGATTTGCTGCATTCGCTAAAAAAATGCTCTCTTGTTTCTGTTTTTTGTGGTCTTGATGCTGTTTTCGGTGTCATTATTATGATCGTCTTTCTCTTTCAGTGCAGAGCGTTACGACCCGCTGACCAGCACATGGACCTCAATTGCTGCCATGAGCACCCGAAGGAGATATGTCCGAGTAGCAACTCTGGGTAAGAACGTGCCAAAAAAACCCTTGGTATTCAACCACAAATAATTACATTCTGAGTGTTCACTCCCTTTTCCCCTCCAGATGGCAGCCTGTATGCAGTGGGAGGTTATGACAGCTCTTCACATCTAGCAACAGTGGAGAAATATGAGCCCCAGGTAGATGGCGTGCTGTTCGATTGATCATGTAACTTGTCTGTTGCTGGGATTAACTGAGTGTGGAGGCAGAACCAGTCTCTACGAATGCATCAACCCACCTGTGACCAATGCTCAGTCTATTTATGTAACAAACAGAGCAACACGTGGACCGCCATCGCCAACATGCTGAGCCGGCGCAGCAGCGCCGGGGTGGCCGTGCTGGACGGCATGCTGTATGTCGCCGGGGGCAACGACGGCACAAGTTGCCTGAACTCTGTGGAGCGGTTCAACCCCAAGGCTAACACCTGGGAGGGAGTGGCTCCCATGAACATACGCAGGTAAGCCTGCGAACATACGCACCCAGTATTCACATTGGTAGACACAGAATAGTTGAGTTCAGGTCCAGTGACAACGGGTGTATTTCAAAATAGCTACAGTATGGTTAGGAAATTGGTTAAATCCACTCTTCCAACCGTGAAAAAAGGGACATATCCAAAATGTGTCACATTCTAAAAGAGAATATAAATAAATGTGCTAAAATCAGACACCCCTCAGCCTCCTCCTCCTGGTTCTGCTATTCCAACTGCACAAGGCAAAGTCACGGTAATTAAATGCAGAAGTGCATTGGCCTCAGATGCACTCACCGTTTCGTCTCCCACCTTCTATCCTGCTTTTCCACCTTTTTAACAATCATGTGAGAACTTCTGGTCTGTTTCTAAAATCACTTTGAAACTCCAGTTGTTCTTTAAAACCTTTTGGAAAAGCTGTCTGTGTTGAACTTGTATAAAAGGTACACATGCTGCGAACACTTACCTCAGTAAAACATTTTTACTCTTCCATGGTTCCCATTTGGAGCATTTTGATGTCCCCCTTCCTGAACCGACTTAGAGCATAAACATCAAATGACCTATTTTACAAAACACTCTTCTCTTTCTTATTGGGAAGAGTGAACTTGTCCTGCGGGTGATAATCAAAGCAGCCGTGGAGGCCCACGCTCGCAGCATCCTTCTGATTCAAGACGTGCATCAGAGCGAGGGTGATTTACGGATGTAGCAGTCTTGCATTGAACACGCATCAGCGGATTCATTTTTGTGGTCCCTTGACACACACTCTGAGACACAATTTGTGTGTTTGTGAGTCAGTATAACCTGACAACAGTATACTATGCGGCCCCATGAATGTTGGTTTAGCACTCTGTCGTAAATGTAGCATAGAGCACCTTAAACATGGCATATAAAAAAATCTAGCTGTACAATAAACGTTGAATTTCTGTACTGAATTGTTTATGTTTACAAATGACTTCTTCATTCCAGGAGCACCCATGACCTGGTGGCTATGGATGGCTGGTTGTACGCAGTGGGAGGTAACGACGGCAGCTCGAGTCTCAACTCCATCGAGAAGTACAACCCGCGCAGCAACAAATGGGTCGCTGCCTCCTGCATGTTCACCCGTCGCAGCAGTGTGGGCGTGGCCGTGTTGGAGCTGCTGAACTTCCCACCGCCCTCCTCACCCACCCTCTCGGTTTCCTCAACCAGCCTTTGACACGGGGTCACCACATGGCTGACCTCGGCCTCTGCTGCTACGGCCCAGACGGGCTCTGGGAAGAAACGCAACTGCTCGGTTTGAGACTGTGAGGAGGGGGAGGAGGGGGGGGGGGGTACAGGTAAATGGATGCATGGGGAGAGGAGGAAGAGGGAAGGTGAGTACAAGGCACCTGGCTTTATAAACCACAGTACCCTCCTTAATTAGTGGCAATCCTGGTAAAGTTTGGACAACTACGGTTAAAAAACGAATTAAAACATAAAGAAGTGAATGTGTAGTATCCTGTAATCCCCCCCAAAGCATATCCCACAGGTGACTAACTCTCAATTATCATGAACAGTTATGATTATTATGATAAACTTATGATTCCCGATCAAACAACCATAGTTATAGCATTTTGATGGTCATACCAATCTGGCTGCGCTACACCGTGTTTGCCATTAATTCAGAACTGCACAGTTTCTTGTTTGGAAGCCTGAAACTCCGCTGTACAGCTCCACCCTACACGCAAGCTCCCAGTTCAAGAGTATAAAGATGTGCCTGGATGTGTTAACATGTCGTCGAGCTTCTGCTCTTTTTCTCCCGCGTCGCTGTTTGACACACTTCTGGACTGTCACATGTGATGTAGATGGTTTTTGGTTTGATATTGTTGTCCTCTGCGATATTTTTATTTATATTTTAAAAAAAAAGTAAGAGAGAAACAGAATCATTTTTCTTTATGGTATGTAGCTTGTGACCCAGTATAACATGCATGTTTACGGATTGACAGTGACTCCCGACAGGAGGATAAAGTGTTGTAGTGCCGCAGTGCCACACTAGGTGGCAGCAACAGGAAATGTGATACACCCTTTTCCACACTGCAGGACAGCATGGATACAAACACAAGTCTGCCCCTCAGAAGTCTGTATGAGTTGGATCCTTTTTTATAAAATAGAGAAGAATTGTGTTATAGTGGAACTATATGTATTTATAAAAATATAAATTATAATATATTCTGTTTTTAAAGGTAAAAAAACAGATCAGACCCATTGTTTAAGAGTGTTTTTAATATATTTATTTAAGAGTGTGATTTCAATATCGTCAATTAAATGACAAAGAGAATGTTTTAGAGAAAGAGAGGTTGTTGTTGTTGTTCAGTTTGTGTGCTTTTTGAAGTTTTGGACTGATTTTCTTAGCATTTTGTGCAACATTTGATTTCCATTTGTTAATGTTTGTTCCCGGCCACAAGCATGATTTTACATGAAATTGTATTGTCTGCCGACTAGATCTGTGGAAAAAGGCTTTTGTTGAGTTAATGAAAGGATTTGTTTTCAGTACTTCAATTACTTTCAAGTGGACATAGTGATATGTAGGGATATCATTCTTGGACACATGACGGGTTTAAAATTAAATTAGAGCAGCAAGTACTAGTTAACACACCGTATACTAACACCTGATTCAAATAAGTAATGCTGTCACATCTTCCATACATAATCAAGTGTGGCGTCTTGTTGAATTACCTCATTGTTGAACTGGATCAAACTCTATTAAAACAAAGTTGAAGAAACAGCTTTAAGATTATCTGCAGAAATGCCGGCTACTTAAATTGTGGTGTATGACTTAAGTAATCACTGAATTTTCATTGTGTAAAATAAATGGGTTACCTCGAGTCTACACGAGTCAATTAAAAGCCAGTTCAGATTTTCTGTAGCGCGATGATATGAATCCAAACTTCTGAGAAGTTGTTTTTTTTCCTTTTTTGAAGGATTTTTTTAAGGGATTTTCTTGATTGAGTTCTGTTTATCTCTAACTACTGTACTTTTTTTTTTTTTTGTCACAGCGGACCTGGTAGTACAGTGAGTGTGATGGTCTTATGAAAATGCTATTATTCTGTAAAGTCGCCACCATGAGTCACACTTTAAGAGATGTGCACAAAAAAACAAGACTTTTGCCTCTTTTCCGCTGAACTGTAAATACAAGAATGGTTATTCAAATCCATTTGTGCAATTCTGATGTGACTAAATATTTTTTGTTTATTTTCAATGTTGTGATATTTATTTATTTTATTTATTATATGTTTGTTATTTATGAGGAACTTTAAAATATTGAATCTTCAAAATGGAGCAATACACTGTAAAATATAAATCAAATAAAGTTGTTTTCAGATGTGGTAACTGCCTTGACAAGTTTGAACATATGCATGAACATGTAAGATATACCCTGGAGGGAATATCCCTGCAACTGCAAAAATGCCTCAATGTGCTCTCAGTGTCACTCTGGATCTGAGATACAGCTAAATGCCCAATAAAAACACATGCAAACACACACTTGAGGCTGTGTTAGCACTGGTGGTTGCTAGGCTCACTATACACTGTTGCTCGGTACCTTCCCAACCGACTTCTCTTTCATAGTGATCTCAGCAGACAGCTGAACACTCTCACTTTACCCTTCTGACCTCAGTCACATGGCATTCACACCTGTGGCTGCCTCTGCTCACATTCAAACCCCAGCTCTCCCAAAACACATAGACAGGCCAAACATACACAATGCAGGACACTTGGAGTGGAGTGGGGAAAGGCTATATGGGAATATCTCAACATACAGTTGATTTAACACTTTGGTACAACACAGGAAGACCCATATGTGCATGTGTGTTGCAGAGACATCATACATGTCTTAACTGTAGATTCATATCTGTTATTAACATTTATTGTCTCACTCAAATATAACTCAAAAGACTGAGGGTGCAGTACCTCATGTATGTAAGTGGATGTTGGTTGTGTGTGTGTGGACGTTTATGTGTCTCTGACTGCTGTGACAGTGAGTCACCGCCGCTGCTATGAAGATGCTAATGAGTTCTCAACCTGTCTGGAGAAACGCACTCTCTGGAATAGCGGCCGTCCATCCAAGCATTCCTACCGATGGAGCCTCTCCTCTTTCCACTGGTATCGGCCAGCCCTTAATGGAGATGTTGTCACCCTCTGTGGAAAAACTCCAGACACCAGGACCGCAGAGAGCCTTCACATCTTCCGCCGCAAACTAAAGACACACCTCTTCAGACTCTACCTCGACTAAAGACTAACAAATTGTAGCACTTAAATTGTACTTGTAACGTCACTCATCTATAGCAAATTGTAAATTGGCTTATTTGAGGAAATTGCACTTTCTTGTTTCTTGTTCTCCAGAGTTTGTACCCTACGGTTGAATGCACTTATTGTACGTCGCTTTGGATAAAAGCGTCCGCTAAATGACATGTAATGTAATGTAACTCAAGTGTCGATTGGACCACTACAACGACTCTTAAGAGGCCATACACCTTTTTGACTGACCACTCCTGATAAGACTGGGTCTGAAATGGGAAAACTCTCAACCTCAGAAAAACTAATCATGAATGTACAGCTCATGGATGTATGTTTTTAGTAAAAATAATGCGGAAGGCCATCGTGCTCAAGAAAGGACAAGAACGACAGAGATTTTCCCATCAGAAGACCTACAGAGGAGGGACATAAAGAACAGCAGAAAGGCCATTAAGTAGCAACTGGTAATGATCACAATTCCAAAGGAAGCTGCTCAAGTGAGTTATTGTAAACAAGTGTTCATCAAGCATCATCAACAGAGTGTGAAGATGTTACAGTGTTAATGTCCTGTCCTGTATAGTGAGTCACTGTAGCGTCCAGTCTGCCCCGAGGGCTTGTCAATGATGTCTCCGTAGTACTTTTTGGATTATATTAAAAGTAGTCCAAATGAAAAAAGACTTAATCCCATTAACAAACTCTAATCAAAATGCACAGACACCAAAGAGCCCCGGTTAGTGGCACACAGACAAAGACAGCTCGCATAGGCCGACACCACACATAAAGACTGGAAGATTGCATTGAGTTATTTTGTATAGGGTAGATTTATATACTTTACATAATCCAAATATTTATTTATATTATATATATATATATATATATATATATATATATATATATATATATATATTATATATTTATGTTTGTGCTTACGCTCTGAAGGTTTTTAGTGTGTAACAATTCATCAACATGTATTTTTGCCACGTCTCTGTCAACATCATCAGCCCTTGTGTATTTCTTTTCATGTGGGTTTTATGAGCCTCTGTGTTGCACGTCTTATTAGCACTTGCCAATGTAGCATAAGAATGTCTTGAAGGGTGTTTCTATTTCTATTAACTTTCAGTCTTCATTTAATATTGTTAGTTCATGCTCATGAAAGGATAAATGATGAATAACCATGGATGAAAAATAGCCTCTTGGATATCTCTGCCCCTACAAAATAAACAAATACATTTGAAAAAATGAAAATGATGGTGTGGTTCATGTCTGCAACTATTATCACAGCACAAAAGAGCAGCTCTGTTTGTTAAATTGTGAAAGTGTGTCCTTACACACAACCGAGTCTAAGAAACGAGTAGTGATTTGAATTAACACCTCTGAAAGGCCCCACAATGCTGACCCCAGTATACAATCATTTTTGGTTTAAATTAGTAGGACTTATTTACAAAAATATATGTATACACCCCTATGATATATGAATTTATCCAGAATATAAAAAGTACAACTCAATATATGCAGTTAATGTTTTACTTTAGCATAGTTCCAATGCAACAATATCTCCCCTAAGTTTAAACTATTATTTATTACAATAAATAAAAAAGACAATAAATTCCCATCTCATCATAATTCTTCATTATTCATTGTGGTTAAAATGGGAAACGTGACCTCCATATACTACACTGTGTGTGCTTATGTGTGTTGTAGTATTCAAAAATGAGGAAAACTCTGGACGAACAAAGGATACCGCAAATCAAAAAAGTTAGATCGAAAGAGTTTAATAAAAGAATAAGCGTTGCGCTAAAAAGTTAACACCTCGATCGAGGATTCGCAGGCTTCCCCAGTCCACAGGCCACAGAGAGTCCTTTGACTGCGACGCGGTTAACTGTCTACCGGTTTCACTCACGATTCCTTAACGAAGGGACACGTACATATATAGACAATCAGAAAGGTGTGAAAACCATTCTATTGGTTTACAGAGTTCTTCTATGATGATTGGGTTAAAGTTGGTGCGATAGGCAGTGTCCACGCCTCTGGGCACATTCTGATGCGTTCAATGTAACCTGGGTTTTTTAGTGTCTCTGTCAATGTAAATGGTTTTATTACATTTTCCTGCATGCACATTATATTTAATACAATGATATTTTAGCATAGTGACTCAGTTGATTTGTCTCAGAATTACAGTTATACATTGTCATTACATTGTTCTCATTTCTTTTTTGATTACATAAATCCATAGGAAATCCAAATGTTCACTAGTGTTTCACAATATGCATTTCTTTATTCATTACATAATTCCAGAAGGAGGATTGAGTTTTTAATAACCTACAGTGTATTTGTTTCCTCAAAATTAAATAAATCTTATAAGGTTGTTTCAGGGATTTACTGAAATGAGCAGTTGAAATAGTTAATCTGACTTTGACTGATCTCACCTTCAAAGGAGGACCGGGGTCCAATTAAGGTTCCTTTATGGACGTCCCGCGTGAGAACTTTGGCGCCTCAGGTCCTCGGTTGGACACCTGATGTCGGGGGCCTCGTACCCAGACAGACGTTTTAGTGGCCTGAGGTGTGACTGTGACGCCGCTGCTCTCTCCAGCTGAGTCTGGGTAAACAAAAGCGAGCCACAGTTCAACCTACCACACATGGAGGGAAGGACATTATGAAAATGGCCCCTACGTCTCTTCCTTTCAACAAATAATAAAAAGACACCGGCCGGTTAAATTTGAAGGAAAACCCAGAGGAGTATAATGCACATTCAATAGGTATAAATACATAGGGTCTACATTTAAAATATTATTGTGGTGACTGAAAAACTGAAACATACCAACTAGTAAAGTCATTTGCCTCTTTAGAGGGAAACTATGTGGGCCGAACGGTGACCCACACAATATGAAATACAGTAGAAAAGAAAAGAAAGGGCCGCCGGTATTTCCCCTTCCTGCTGAGCAGTGTGACTCAAAGCTTCAGCAGAGGAGGGAGATGTACGGAAGTTAATCAAACTAACCCACAAAGTGAGTTATCCATACACACGCACATGATCACAGTGTAGTCCTGCACAGAGCCCTTTGAAATAAGCAGGCTGAAAATACCACATATGTTTGCACCACCATCCTAAACAGCTTCTGTTTAAAGCTGGATCAATAAACCGGTAATATAGAGGGGAAAGACAAGATGCTTAATCAAACGGGGTAAGCAGTTCTTTATCTTTATCACAGTCAGTCAGTCAGTCAGTGAAAGTTGTTTGTGAACACACAAAATATGATTGAAGGTGCAAATAAAAATTGTGCGAGAAGTTCCCTTCCACGTCTTAGTGAAGGTGTGTTTGTGGGATTATGGTTTCAGAGAATTAGACTCGAGAGTCGTTTCAGACGGAGCAGGTTTGAAGCCCACTGACCTCATAGCCTCATAGACCGTAACTGGAATCGTTGAAGGTTTAGTGTTAAGTATTTGAAGCCAATGAGGGGGAACATCAAATAAGTGGAGAAAATGATATCATTCGGTTTAAGGTTTTTATTTGTATTTTTCTAGCACAGTTATATCCGTCAACCCACTCTGGGATTCTACCTGATAAACTGCATAGACATAGTTTCATTTTATCAGGTAATTATAATCTCGGGTGAGAGTGAATGATACATCACACCTGGGAAACTGAACCGAAACCTTTTGAGGAAGAAATCCCAGATTTAATTTTCCAGGGAAGTGAGTCAACGTGTCAGCTGCAAGTTTGCTCCAGTTCATCTTGATGATGCAAGACCGGGAAAGAAATGTTTTTCTCTGGAATAACAAAACAAAAAAGTAGTGATCATTCTGTCACTGGATTCTGCTGGAATATGCAGCAATCTTTTGGGTTCATAGCGACAGTTTTTAATAATCTCCGTTTTGTTAAGAAAGAAATCAGGTTGTTGCTTTAAATTGACCACATTGTAGTGTTTTTAAATGTTGTAGAACGGGCTTGTTTAAGATAAGAGACGAGAACATCTATGAAGATCTGTGAGATTAAGTGATTGATTCAACTACTAATCTGCCTTAAAATCTCTCTGAGCCCGCTGTATCTACATGATTGATGTCTGCCACTCTCACAAGCGGCAGACACCAACTTTTGCAAATGGAGGAAAAATTGCAGGTCAGGTAAATTCATTAGAATCTAATCTGATGATGTGATAACAGACATCTGAAGCGGCGTTTATATATGGTCAGTCTCTTACCTACATTTACATTTAGTCTCACCACATGCAGTTCAATTAGTCTTCTCCGTTGATTTAATTACTGGATCTATTTATGGGCTCTACGGCCCATCGGACTGAGTTTTAATGCACAACAATGAGCTTTACAAGGATCGAAGGTGTCAACGACTGCTCTTCAGTCGGCTTCAACAAGCAGACGACTGTTGGTGCCTGAGGCGAATCTGTTTAAACAATCCGGATAAACGGGTTGGCCTTACGTGGCAGCCAGCAGCCCCCCCTTCACTTTCCGACTACAGCAGCTCACCACAGTCATGACCTAATTATTAAGCGGTAAAACGAGCGTGAGGGTTTGACTTCCTCGTCTGATAGATACCACCTCACGTCACGGAAAGACGGTTGCATGTATGATGAGTTAACAAGTATCATAAAACCAGTAATAATTAACTGAATTCCTAAAAGGTCTACAAGTTAAAAAAAAGACTACTTTGATTCTGATGGAGAATTAACATAATACATTTAAAAAATGTGAAATACAGAAGCTGATTGTGACTATTAGAACAGCAAGAAGAATGTGTTTTATGTGGTGGATCACACCTCCTTTAGAGGAACAAACTCCTTACAAGGCAAGAGGTGTGTCACCTCTTATCAAAACAAGAGCCGTACATAAAATTCCTTTTCTGACATACAAAAGGTTTAATGAAAATATCCCATACATTAGATGAATCTAAACTGATGCCACATTACCTCAGTTAGAATATAAAATTAATGATTTCTCGATTCTTTAAATGTACACTTGGAAATGTGTAGAAGAAGGAAAAACAACAAGGGAGCCGACCGTAATCAACTACTTGAGGTTCTAAATCAGACTGATGTGTTTAAAGTGTCTTGATCAACAACGAATAGGCTGCTGAAGTGGTCAGAGATGTTTTATGTCTGGGCATGCCAGTGGAAGCTCCCACCTTCCCCTTGATTGACAAACACCATCTAGAGTGTTTCGTGACCAGCAACGTAGCTCCATTTGGCTCCTGGAAGGTGTGAAATGGCACACTCCCCCCCCTGAACCCCTGTCTTTGTTGTTGGATTTGATTCAGCAGACACAGGCCACTCACAGAAGGTGTGACTCCCACTGGATACCCCCCTCCCACCCACACACACACACACACACAGTCTGTGACACAGACCCAGACTCCACCCCTTACGCACACACACCCTCTCCCCAGCCTTGCTACACAGCCCTCAGCCTGCCCACTTCTCCCTCTGTACAAGTCTGGCTGCAGCAGGGAGCACACTGCAGTCTTGGATAACAATCGTTCATCACAGAGGTATTCAGGTCCATCTCCAGAGCAGCGTGAGAGACCTTCAGAGCAGCGCAGCATGGGGAGCAGCACGTCATGTGTCCCTGAGCACAACTTCAGATTCTCCAGCAAGAGTTTCATACGCAGAAACAGGTAAGATGAAGCCACCTTGTGCTGTTCTTACTGTGCTGATCCGGCCGGTGTGCCGTGCCTCTGGCTGCCGTTTGTTATTCCAGTGGTACAGTTGGAAGGAGTTCTAGGTGTTTCTCAGGGCCCTGGCAGTGGGTTAAAAACAGAGGTTGGGTATTCTGTGAGGCCCGGGTCACGATCATATGGTCATACAGAGTCAGGCCTGTCTGGCCAACGGTGTCATTGACCCAGTTACCATTTGCCACTTCTTTGCATCTTTGTGAAGTTACTCTACCAGCTGTCACTGAAATTCGGTTTTGACCCCCAAATCAGAACGTGACCCTGTTCATTACCATGTTCATTACCATGAACATATAAGCCATTATGGTTAATAACATCTGGTTAATGACGCATGATATACACCCTTTTGCCGAGTGGTGATCTAAACTAAAGGGGTTTGAACATGAATGTAGGAGCTGAGGGACATTGATGGGTTATTATACTTGTTATTTTATCTTGTTTTCTTTAATCCTGGTGGATTACATGCCCAGGCATGTTACCAATAGTAGAGCCCACTCTGCTGGACACCACACCTGATTGTTGTTAGCCTCTGCTCCTCGGTGCTGTGGGATGATTCAGTGTCTCGTCTTTTCAAATAAGCCGTAGACACTAGCATTTTCAAATAAAAGCAGAGGCGCGACCACCCTCTAAAACCCAACGTCTCATGCCCGAACACTGATACACCTTTCAATTTGGTTACGTGGTTCAGCGTGGACAATACGTTCAGTGTTCAAGTTTCCCGGGTGCCCCACTGGCTCATTGTGTTCGTGAACAGGCTCAGGTATTCCCCACGGAGGGAAAGGAGTGAATGCCACAGAGGTGACGTTGTGGGTGTGCAAATCCACTACATGTCGATTATCTACATTCCTCTTTTACTTTGCAACTGCGGACCGCATCGCTATGTATTGTTTTCAATTGTTTCTCTATGTGTGAGTACATTGTACTACGGGTGTAGTGGAACGGCATCAATCACCGAGCCCTAATCAATGATTGTTGCTTGACATGGCCTCCCTGATTAGACAGGCCTTGGTTCCCCGCGTGCAGACAAAAGCCTGCGTTGTTGCAACAAGGACACTGGCCCATGTATATGCAGATAAACTACAGGCTGGTATTGTAAAAGCACTGCAAGGGGCTTATCATTTCAGTGAGGGAGCTTCCTCACTAGGATGTGACACTAATGGTAATAGATGGGGGGAGCATGCAAAACAAAGAAGAGGATTGATTATTGAGTTGCCTATGCATATCCTTACTATCAGAAACACTAGACCTGATTGTGGATGGAGTGAGGACAAAGGACGGGCAACCGGACAAATTATGAGACATGAGACACCAATTATCCTTCAACAATCTGGTGTGAAAATTGAACTCTATCAGTGGTTCAAGATTCAGTGTGTGACTTGATGACTAAAGAAATAATTTTATAATGCAACACAATAGAAAAGAAAAACGCTATTTAGGTCAACTTTCTATCTGACATCAGTAAACAACAGGGAACGCCAACAAACAGGAAATGTTCTTTGTTGACACTAAACTCGAAAGGTAACTGAACAGCGAATTGTAGAATGGATGGTAAACATTGGAGAGTGACTGGTAACACGTGGTTCTCCTCTCTCTCTCTCTCTTGCAGCAGTCGCCTGTTTCGGAAGAAGAATCCCCAAGAGGGACAGGAGAAGTGTAACAGCATCATTAATATCTTGAGTGCCGTCACCCCCAGGAAGGTAAAAACCTCACTCGTCTGCATACCAAACAAAACTGCACTCCTATAAATGTCAATCTGGGTGCAATTTTATATTCATTTGTGTCGGATTTTGATAGTAGGTTTGCCCAGTTTATTTATGTATATGGACTAAGACTATGACCGTTTGCAGGAAATGTCCCATAAAGATCTGTACACGATAGACAACACAAAATGGGACCCTCCGTTCCCTTATGAC